GAACCAAACCACATCAGCAAATTTAAATTGGCGAATTTTTTTGGGTTCGGGATTTTTTTTATTTGCGAATTTTGGAAATTGCCAAATTTAACTGCACTGGAGAAAAAAAACACATCGGATCTAGAGTCCAGACTCTTAAAAACATCGACAAGAAAAAATACTCTTGATTCAATCAGATTTAAGCTTAAATCAAGAACCAATCCTCTTAATTTGAGCGGATTTCCTTTTGACTTAAGCTTAAATCTGATTGAATCAAGAGTCCTTTTTCTTGTCAATGTTTTCAAGAGTCTGGACTCTAGATACAATGTGGTTTTTTTCCAGTGTGAGCAATTTAATTTTTTGAATGAAAACGATTGAGCGGATTTTTAAGAAAATTCAGTGAATTTTCTGAGTAGCGCAAAGAAAATTCCTTAAAATTCTATAAAAAGTCCACACAAACATTCTCATGTACAGCATTAAATTGTCTAGTTGAATTAAGCAATAGCTCATGTGGCTTGGTTCATTTCTGCTAAACGCGGTCCAATTAGCCAACCTAGTGCTTTACTTCATACCTTGCCTAAAGGCTCATTTTCTGAAAGTAACGGAATCATTAATTCGTACTTAAAAGCTGATTTTGCACCACCGCTTGTTTATCAGAAAACACGTGCTTCATCCACAAATGCGTCGTGTTGAGTATAATTTTTTGCCCGAACCTTTTTTCATCGAATTCCGACAATCGACTGATGTATCATCGTGACGTCAATCATTACAGACACAAGTGCCAAATTGAACATATTTCTGCCGAACTGAAGCAGATACCGAAGAGAAAGAAGGGGTGTGTTTGTTAGTTGATGGCCGTAAGAATGAATGGGAACTATAAAGCGCCAGTGACGTCAGCGGCGACGAAGCAGCCGCCGCGGTTGCTCACCTTTCGCTTAAACTCATGAGCCCTGTCTACAACGCTCTTGTCACATGCTCATGGCTCATGAGTGCCGCTGTCAGTCGGCACATAGCTCCGTTTGACAGAATGTAAAATCCCGTCCATTTCTCAAAAGAGAATCGCGACCACTTTAACATTATTTCTTATGTAGCTTTCTAGAGCACACCCCTTCTTTCCCACTTCTGTGTAATTCCGCTCGGCAAAAATGCGTCCAATTGTTCCATTGCCCTAGAAAGTGAAAAATGCGTTTATATTGATGACGATGTTTTGATACAACTATTCGTGCTTGATGGATGTCCTTGTTGCATGCGCTAAAAATGAAGGCGCCCTGGTTTTCTCTCAACTGCAGTGTAAAAGGACCTTGAGAGAATCGCTTTTAGCTCTAGTCCGCTCTTTCCAGTATTGTGCCATGTGTGGTTAATGTGACTCGCGTCTCACTGGAGCTGTTACTAAAACTCATATGAAAAGTTCTGCGAAAATACGTTCGGTGCAAACTATGAGACTATTGTCATGGGAACGGAGTTCCCCATGATATTAGAATCGTTCCGTTGCTTTCGCTATGGAATTCCCTATACCTCTGCGACCTTGAGCGTTTCGCCCAGTCTCCGATTTTTGGTTGATTTTCCGATGTATCAAAAACCGTTGTATTTTTTAGCCAATCATGTCTCTACGTCAAGTTGTGTTGATTGCTAAAATTCGCTTTCAGCGAGTTTTTTTCCACCTTGAGATGTCGTGTCTGACTGGTAAATCTGCGCAGAACCACGAAGTTCCGTTTTTAGGCAAATTCTTTTTTTTGGGAGGTTCTGATTGGTTATTTTTCGCCATCAGTTTTCTGTTCGTTGGTGCAAAAGATCGCCTACCTCGTTGCTCTTGAGAAGCCGCCATTATCCCACCTCAAATTTTAAACATAGATATAAAGAAATAATAACCATCGTACAAGGTGGAAAATTGCTCTGGAGGACCCGTTACGGATATATGAGCCAAAATCAGAACTCGATTGATGGATTTAATCCATGAATACAGAAATATTGCCTCAGCTTACTGCCGCGATCGCAAATCCATGGTGAGATGAACCTCGTGACACATGACAGCATAGGTAAACAATGTCTCACAGAGTAATGCGGTTGATCCGTTGTGTCTTATCACGCCAGTGGCCGAACCGTTGAAATCTCAAGGACGTCTTTTGTGAAGCCCCGCTCAGCGTCCGAGATCACTTAAGTGTTCTCTTTTTCTCAATGCATATCTGAACAGCGAAATAGCTCAACTGGCTGCGTTACCGTTTTGCCTCTGGGAGAGTGACACTTTTTGTGCGAGCGGGGGTTCGAATCTCGCAGGGGACAGTTAATTTTTACTGGTTGTATTGAATGTTTTAGACCAATCATCTAACAATAATTAATACTTGGCAGATTAGGAAGCACATAGGTCCCTTATGATGCGTATTCGAGCATATGTGTAGAGTGGAAATATCATACGTAGGGTGTCCCAAAAGTACCGGGACTGGTTCTGTAACTTCAAAATTAAGATAGATACAGACATGATTTTGGTCTCATTTTAAAGATCAACTCAATACCTATCGATTAAAACCAAGATCAGCTCAATCGAATAAAAATTGACCGAGTTATGACAATTTGAAATTAGTGAGGAAAGTTTACCCCTACGGTTTTTAGGAAGATTTTTCGCTTACCAGGATTTAAAAAGTTAATATTCGTATCCACTTTCCTCCGAATCTTCCATAACTTCCTTTTGCTTTTCAAAGTACCGTCCATCAAACCGGATGCACTTTTTCATGCGCTCTTGCCACTTATCCAACATTGTTTTCCTGAATTATTCCTCTGGGATGGAGTTGAAGAAGTTTTGAATTGCATTCTGGATTTCGGTCTTCGATACGAATCTTCGTCCGCGAAGCTCCTTTTTAAGCGTGGGAAACATCCAAAAATCACATGGAGCCAAGTCAGCGCTATAAGGGGGATGAGGGATTGTTTCAACTCCATTTTTACTCATAAATTCACGTGTTAAGCTCGATGTGTGAGGCTGCGCATTGTTTTGATGGAGTATCCACGGAGCTTTCAAGTCCGACGGTTTCCGGGAAATGTGCATTCTCAACTCCTTTACTACTTTGCAATAATACGCACTGTCAACTGTTGTGTTTGATGGTACAAAATGTTGATAAATGACACCTCGAAAATAAAAAAACACAAAACGCAATAGTGTATTTCCTTCGGAAAATACACTAATAAGCATCACTTTATCGGCCGACTTTTCGATTTACGGCGATGAAGAATCTTCCTTAAAAATCGTAGGCGTAAACTTTCCTCGCTGATTTCAAATTGCCATAACTCGGTCAATTTTTATCCGATTGAGCTGATCTTGGTTTTAATCGATAGGTATTGAGTTGATCTTTAAAATGAAATCAAGATCATGTCTGTATCTATCTTACTTTCGAAGTTACAGAACAAGTCCCGGTGCTTTTGGGACACCTTACGTATACTTTACGCCGAAAAAGCGAACCTGAAACTTAAATGCGTTAACTTCCGAAAACCATATATAATTCAACGAAAATAAATAATTGGTACATAACAGCTTTCTTGTATGCAAAGAAAATAATTAAAAATGTTAAAAAAGAGATGTCAACACAAAATTACATAGCCCCTTCAATTCAGAAGATACTACAAACGAACTGTACCTTAACATTTTCATATCCCAGAAGCTAACGTTCCCATGACGAATATTGCTATCGCTAGCGATTGCAAAATCCAACTTGTTTTATTTTCAACATATAATGTAGACACATGGCTCCTGCACACTATATAGCAAAACATATCATTAAACGTTAGAGTGGTTGGAGTTGGTAAGATTTAAGGATTAAATGAAGTAAAAGCTCAATGGGTTTTAGCGGACATACTGAATCATCATAGTTTTTTTTATCAACCCAACGTCAATTGAAAGCAAAAAAAATTTCTGAACAAAAATCTTGTTAACATTACAAGGATCTCTTTGATATTTGATACCCAATAAGGAACATTGTTATCTACAAAACAGTATTGTTACAAGATAACATAGAGTCGTATTACCGCTACGAGACACAATTTTCCAGGAGCAAGACTTTGTTTCTGTAACGAAACAGTCTAATGGGGTTATCAAGGAAATCTTGTATATGAAATATGACAAATATTCACGCGTAAGGATAATGGTGTAGTTTTTGCAGTGAAGGAGGTATCTGAATAATGAAGTAATTTACCCCACGCAACAGAGAGTTACAAGAACTTTCCTTTAAAAAAAATCTTGGATATTTGGACGTATTACTATCAAACGAAACTATGTGCATCATGACGTGAGCCCTGTTATGCACATATGCTTATGGGTCTCAGGGCTCATGTCTTAATGCACATCGTTCCGTTTGACAGAAATACGTCCATTTGTCAGTCAAATGACGTTAAATACTTAAATTATTCATAGTTGTCGCCATGATACGAAATTATTGCCAGGATTGTGTCAGGACTGTACTTCTAAGTCAACTTCTACTGATTGGCTCCGTTTCCCTCTGGTATGCTTAAATGATTTCAGACAAGTTTCAACGTATGCAGACTGTTTCTTAGTACGAACGGCAAGACGAGCCGTATATCCTTAAACGGACAAATAATTTGTTCGATGAGTCAACTCGTCAAAAACCGCAAAAATATCGCAATCATCTCATTTCATTATAGAAAATCATGCATTGCACCCCTAATACGTGATTGCTCTGGGTTGTTCTGCTTGATGTTGAGATTAATTGATTCCGTGTCATTTGATCATTTTAGATTAACGTTTTCCTCCTTCAGGGATAAAAAATATAATTATTTGCATGTGCGCAAATGTACTGATTTACCCGTGTCTCAGTGGCCAGGTGTGAATGATCGATTATCAATATGTTCCCATTTGTAGCTATGGAAAAGAATCGATTACTAAGGGGCTCATAGCGAATATCCTGTTCATCGATACTTTTCCATAGGTTTAAATGACAGATCAATCGATACATCGCAATGCATTCCACGCAACTGCTGACTTACCCGCGTTCAGAGTGTATAAAAGAGAGCACGATGCGAGATTCTAGTCTGAAACGCAGAAACTCAGGTGCTTGTGATAATGAAGAACTATAGTCGGTGGATGGTGTCCCACGTGTGTATTGATTATGTTTTTTTGGTGAGTAATTTTTAGTACGAAAAATAAGTAGTGTTTATCGATGATTAAAACCAAACTTTTGATTCTTGAAACCACTTCGCACGGTAGCGTAAGTGACGGACTGAAGTGTCATCATCATTACGTATTCTGCCGTACTAAGGAAGAATGCCGTATGAACGTTCGAGAGTTGCCAAATTTCCTTTGAAAAAACATGTATTTATGCAAGCATTCGTGCATCATTTTCCTTGAAATTTTCAGAATGTTAGATTAAATTGCGTACAAAACTGTCTGAAATTTTCGGAAAATGATACTCGCAATTTCCCCAGTAAATTCGGTTTTTATCGGAAAAAATTTGGCAACGCCTGAAGGCTCATACGACGTTCTTCCTTAGCACGGCAGTAGTACTCTTAGTTTTTTAACATGGTTTTTTGAAGAAGTTTTATTTAAATCAATCGACTAGACCCGATGACTGCCGAAACTGCAGAGAACCTGGCCTTAAAATTGCATGCTAATTTTGTAAAAGGCTTGAAATTAATATTTTGCACATTAACGAAAATTTTTTACGCAGATCGTGACGTCAGGTGTGTATTTCAGACTTTCTCGGTTCGCTTATCGTGACTTTTTATCCATTTTCTGTCAGAAATAACTTTTGCTGTACTGAAGTTTGCAACAGGCTTATTAGGGTGATTTCACGATAAGAGGAATAGTCGTGTCGCCGTGGGTTATGAACGATATAGGGCAAAACGATTGAAAACCAAATGAATAAATCAATAGGAATGATGTCCCTGAACCTATCCATGCTTAAAAATATGATGAATTATTATCATATTTAATAATATGAGACTTTAAAGGCCGAAAATGTCCGGTCGGTTACGCGTCGCCAACCCCGATTTTGAAGCAAAAGAGCAATTTGCGGTAACAAATCAGTACTGATCATGAACTCTTTGGCAATATTTGCTGAAAAGAGACTCTAATGTTCAAGAAAATTGCCAGTTTGAACTGAAATGTTTATTATTGAGCGAGAAAAGTCATTAGAAAGAGGTGTCGCCACATTTGGCAACAAATTTTTGCAGTTGTATTGAGTGCAGTGTTTATCTCGCCAGACGGAGTCAGGAGTTTCAAAATTGCCATCAAATTGTTCGCTGAAGTCTTCTCGACAAAACCATTACTGATAAGTCAGTTTTTTTTACAATGAAAACTTTAATTATTATGAAAACCAGTGATTTTTACGTGTGTAGCACTAATTCCTCACTACGCAAAAACCTCAATTTAATATTATTAAACTAAAAGGAAGTCTCCAAAGTTTAGAAAACTTTTAAGGCAGCATCAATTCCACCTCATAACTCAAGAATTGCCAAGTTTCATCTTTTGTATCATCTTTTATCTCACATTTTCAAGTGTCGGTTACGCTGCGTCTGTTACGTAACCGACACAATATGGCAGGGCCGCCATGTTTGCGTGGACCTCCAGCTGTCCCGCGGGAGGCGCTGATACCTGATTCAATGGCTTGTTTATCAATCACTTTAACTTTGCACTGAATCAAAATAGAGCGTGCCAAAGCTGGAAAAAGGAGGTTCAATACCTTTAAAATGAGGTAATGAAATCCTGTTAAAATTGGTGCACTTTTATTTTTAAGGTATTTCACATTTTAACTATTCCTGTTATCATGAAATCACCCATTAAATAGAGGTTTTACCTCTGTAAATTGGTTAGCAATGAATAGCGGTGGCGAGACGTGAATGGTTGATTATCTATATTTTCCCAATTGAAGTACGAAAAAAAAAGACATAGTTTCAGACAAAACAGCCGTGAGTGACATTATTCCTCCAGAGAGCCAATGAATTTAGTCATTTGAAGTAAAGTGCCGCCCCCCTCTCTCAATTTCTTATTTAAAAATGTGTTAGTTGTCCATCCAAAACGCAACCACGAAATCATGCAAAAGATAGCACTTACGGCTGTCTTACCTAACACTATCCTAACATCATGAAAATGAAAAATACTCCTCTTATGTAATCATTGAAATAAAATCTGTCGGTGTTTAATCATACAAACGATTTCTAAGAGTCTTACGGATAAATTATAGTGGCAGTATGACAAAGGACGGTGGCTTTTTCCAATAAAGTTTTCCGCTCAGACGCTTCTGAGCAAGTTTTCTTCAAACTTCATTTTTGCACTTACTGCTCTCTTCGCTATCACTCTCTTACTCTGCCGTGCTGAGGAAAAACGCCGTATGATCAATCGATAGTTGCCAAATCTCCTGTGCTAAAATGTTTATTTTTGAGGAAATTTACGAATATTTTTGCCTGAAACTTTCAGGAAATTTGGGTCGAATTGTGAACAATTGAAAAAGAATATTCATATTTTTACCGAAAAAGTCGTGTTTTATCAAAGGAAATTTGGCAACGCCTGAAAGTTCATACGGCTTCATAAAGTTTTCTTAGCACGGCAGTACTGACGTCCAATTTTCAGGTAGCGCTGGTGCTATTGGCAGGAATCACTCGAGCAAAAACAACGGGGGTTCTCCTCTACCCCGATCCGAAAATCCAGCCGGATAATGTCATCGTTCGGAACAACAATGGAAAAGTAATCGATGACACAATCGGAAAGGGAAACCAAGAAAATGGCCCGGTTCTTCATAGTAGATCCCTGGACTTCATGAACGCCCTTGGCGGATTGAGTGGCACAATTAACAACTCTGGCGTATCAAACGGCCATGGCAATGGTGCAGTTATTTTCAACGGGAAAATTTTAAATGATAGTGCAAGCTTTTCAAAACCATCGACACAACCCAACAAAGCTCCCTCCAGAAACTTCGTGTCAAGAGGCGATAGGAGTCCATCTAGGAGGTTCGGATCAAGAGCCGACAAAAGTCCTTTTAGAAACCAAAGACCAGCATCACAATCTCCTTCTAATTGGGATTACAAGCCCAATAGATTTGCGTCGTCGAGTACAGGTAAAAATGATTCTTTACCCAATTTTAGAGGGAGCAAATACAATACAAGTGTTGCCGCTATGATAAAAATTAGAACAAATAGTGAAAGTAGATTGTAAACGGTAAAACAGACTTTTCTATTTTGAAAAATCTGTTTTACAATGTTGTTGCAGCCATGTTTGGAATTACATTTATTTACAGGAACATGGTGATTTTTTTTTTTTAAATCAATCACCGTGTTCTGTGTAGCTTAGCCAGCCAAAGGCATTAAAATTTATTTATTTACAGGTTTGAATTACAATTCGCAACTATAAAGTACTATTTTTAGCTCATCCATAAAATTGTCTACTTACGTAAAGAAACTAATGGAACATACGTCGTTTTTAAAAGAAATCAAATAGTTGGTCATAATTACAAACTGTAGTCTAATTGTCAAAACTATTTGAAGATTGAGGAAAGTTTTATAGTCACGAGATAATTTTCAACCGGTGCGCCGCGCCGCGCCACGAGAGTCAGTCACTACAGTTTTCGACCGAGAGCGCCTTCAACTTGAATGATACTCTACGCATTGTCGTGGAGTTAGTTTAGTTGCGTGACCTAAACCGAACCCAACTCAAATCGACTCGGCTCATCTCACCGAGCGAGAAGAAAATATGCTGTCATATTATTTTGGATTTAAACATTTTTTCTGGTCATACGATATGAGTCATTTTAAAAATGAGTCCGAAATAGTGGTTTGTAATTTAAAATTGTGGTCCTTTTAATCTGTTTGCAACTGGAACACGGTGTCCATAATAATCGCTCACTGTATGAACGGGGAGATTGACTGGATAAAGAAGTAGATTCTCAACGGAGGACTGGCGATTCCCTTCATAACGGCCTCAACTTCGAAGTTATTTTGGGCTTGGGAGTTTTTTTTTTTTCAGAGAATATCAGTGACGCCATTGGATCGCTTGCAAACTTTTCTATAAAAAAAAGCCATATGAAGACAAATCCCTCGAGCACAAAAGGGCTCTATTCAAACCTCGTGTGATAATCGTGCACGTTCCTAACCTTGAAGGACCCTCTTGATTACTTAATTTTTATCACGCCAACAATATCATCAACAGTCAAATTGGAAAACCTACTCTACAAAAAAAAAAAAAAAAAAAAAAAAAAAAAAAACCAGGCAATGAAAAGAGCAAGGCAAAACATAAGGAAATAAACTTAAATTATTAATAACAATTAGAGAATTAAATCAAATTATTCCACTTTTTATACTAATATGATGGTATTAATTAATTTATTCTTTATTTTGTTTTGTTTATTAATATTCTAGGTTTAATTCCTTATGCGTTTTCTTCACGGAAAAAATGGATTACTGATTTAACAATGAAATCGTTCAAAGATATGTCCACATGTTTCAAATGTACATTTTACCATGGTGGAAAGCTAACTTAACCAGAAGGGTGGTTATTATCTTTGTTTGATATTTTGATTCGTTATTATCTTAATTCATTGTAAATTATATATATTGAAACATGTCACATACATTTTTTTTAATTACATAATTTTTAAATCGGCATCTTCATTTTATTCCCGTGTTGCTCTTCTCGTTTCGTTCTCCCCATTAGATTGGGTCTCTATCACAGATTTTAATTAAACTTTTTTCCGTGCTCAAAACAGGGCTCAACGGATTGGAAATCGCGAAAAACGGTAGAAAACTTGACAACGTGACGTCGGCTCCGGAAACGTCCAACAGTTCCACCAAACCCTCCAGCGCAGTAAAGACATGGCACGGGTCCAATCTACGCATCAACCACAACGGCGTCCAGATAACCGTCATCAGCCATAAACTACGCCCTCAACACATCGAAATAGACGCTGAAAAGGTGTATATCAACAACGAGATCGTTTGCGACTCCGTGCAAAACCTGAGACCCAAACCCTGGTACCAGCGAAGAGGTGACGGCTCCGAGTGGTACACGAATCTGAGCGTTGGGAGGCCGATGCTGCACCGGCAGATGCAGGAGTTCATCGATGACGTCAAGAAACTCGAGCGAGAACGCGGCTTCAACGATGGATCGTCCGATGGGTCGTCCGATGAAATCAAAACTTGGCACGGGAATTTCTTGCGCATCGATCACAACGGTCTAAAAGCGATTGTCATCAGTCCTCGCATTGAGAACATCGAACTGAACGGTCGCACGGTGTACTTGAACAACCAAGTTGTTTGTGATGACGTGGAGACGCTGAGGTCTGTGCCAAGGCACCAGAAAAGAACCGGTGGTTCCGAATGGTTGACGAATTTGAACGTTGGCAGAGCGATGAGGATAGCCGAGATTGAAGCGTTTGATGAGTATTTGAAAGACATCGAGCAAGCTAAATCCGCCTGGAGTGGAACGGTGGAGGAGAAACTTCCTCGTGAAAAGCAGAGGGCTCCCGTCAAGATGGATGACAAGACAATCATCGAGAACCTTGGAAAGCTAATCAATTGGTGATATTAAGATATTGATTTTGTGAAATTTTTGAACCTGGATAGTATGTTAATCCTTCTGGACGATGATTGTATGTGATTAAATATTTCATTTTTGATTTCATTCACTTATTAAAACGCATTTCAAAACGAAAAGATAGAAGAAGTATGATGAGTTCATTTTTAAGAGATGCCCTCAACTAACATTACAAAACATTTAGACGGTCAAACTCCTGAACGACGTATCTCGTTTGCCGTGTTTAAAATCCACGCCTCTGTTTTATTTTTTTTTTTAAAAAGACACATCGACATTCTTTCTTGAAGTTTTCTAAGAATTTTTTTAGTACAGAGAAGCAATATTACGGAAGTTTCAAGAATTGACGTTGAGTAGCTCTCCAATTAAAAAATTAAGTATGACAGGAAGTCAAACAAGAAACACCCGTTTCAATAAATAGGATCGCTCTGCTTGCAATTTGTCCTCTTTGTCTATCGCTTCAATGCTCAGCACACAGTTCCTCTAAAGAGAAAGCCCTCAGACTTTGTCAAATTTTATGTGATTAAAAATTGATTTTCAGAAAAATGCAGATATATACATTCCACCCCAGAGAATTTTATGCACAGTTTAATCCATAGTATTAAAAAAGTGACAAAGAAAAAACTTCAAAGCCTCCCTCAAGTATTTGCGAATTATTCAACGGAAAAATGAAGGCGCTCTATTTTTCTCTCAACAGCGGGGCGATTATTGAAATGCCATCGACTCTATGTCGCCGCTTACGACAAGACATAGCCCTATCTTAACCGTGCAATATATCGCGATTCGATGTCTTATCCGGCTGGTTTAAATTTCAATAATCGGCCCGCAGGAGACCTTTGCTGCTGTAACAGACAACTCAGCCGCCCCAATTTCTTCGTCTGGTCAAACGCAAGGGTACAGTAGGGTGCGTCAAAAAAAATGAAAGTCTGAAATGTTCCGCTCCCCAGGCGGCAATCGATGACGTTTGGTAAAAAAACATGTTTGCCAAAATTTGGGCCAATTTCAACCATTTTAAATGGTGCCAAAGGTCAATTTTGTGATGAAATTATGATATTTTGGTTTAGACCTCGATTTCGTACAAAAAACTCGATTTTACGCTGAAATCGTGCGTTTACGACAAAAATGCCAAAGAACTCGACTTGTAGAGGATGAAATTTTACACTAGGAAGACGTCTTTGTAACCGATAAAAATCAAATTGAACTAGAAAAACTCAACTCGGTATTTATTTTTTTGGTCCTCAGAATTTCCGAGGTCTTAGAAAGTAGAGGTTTAAAAGACTCATTTTTCACGAAAATAAGTCGAAAGAGGGTGTAAATGAACTGTAGGCAAGTGTTGAGGATGCAAATGTCATCAGAACTTCCTCAGTTTCAAAAAAAGTTCCAACTATTTTGCACAATCCTCCAAAAAGTGCACGGCTCGAGAAGCAGGATCGTGCTATAATAGTAAGGGGAAAGTGCGGTTTGACCGGGAAAAATTGCGTAACAAACTTTCCCTATGTAATCGTCATCAGTAGGTCCCCCTGAACAACTTCCTAAAAGTTAAAAATGGCCCGACCCCGGAATACCCCTCAAAAAAGTTAAAATTGAAAATGGCGGCCGTAATGAGAGGGTCCGGGAAATCGGTAGGTATTTTAAAATGCTCATTCTGTCTCATCATGTGAGGTATCATTTCCTATGTACTTTTGGTCGTAGATTCCATGAATGAATTCCGCAAGGCCCCTTCTAAGCTTACGTTTCTCTCGGTAGTCGTATGTTTCCTTTATTTTCCTTTATTAAATACATTTATAACACCAAATTTAAGTTTCTTGGCCATAAATACATGAAAATAAAGACAATTCACTTTCCTTGTTCCTTCGGTGAATATTTAAAAAAATGCAACCTCCTGCCTTTCACATTTGGCCGCCATCTTTGATTTAGAGCGCCCCCTTTGGCCGGAGGGCCTTGTGGAATTCATTTATGAAATCTACGACCAAAATTACATAGGAAATGATACCTCACATGATGAGACAGAATGAGCATTTTAAAATACCTACCGATTTCCCGGACCCTCTCATTACGGCCGCCATTTTCAATTTTAACTTTTTTGAGGGGTATTCCGGGGTCGGGCCATTTTTAACTTTTAGAAAGTTGTTCAGGGGGACCTACTGATGACGATTACATAGGGAAAGTTTGTTACGCAATTTTTCCCGGTCAAACCGCACTTTCCCCTTACTATTATAGCACGATCCTGCTTCTCGAGCCGTGCACTTTTTGGAGGATTGTGCAAAATAGTTGGAACTTTTTTTGAAACTGAGGAAGTTCTGATGACATTTGCATCCTCAACACTTGCCTACAGTTCATTTACACCCTCTTTCGACTTATTTTCGTGAAAAATGAGTCTTTTAAACCTCTACTTTCTAAGACCTCGGAAATTCTGAGGACCAAAAAAATAAATACCGAGTTGAGTTTTTCTAGTTCAATTTGATTTTTATCGGTTACAAAGACGTCTTCCTAGTGTAAAATTTCATCCTCTATAAGTCGAGTTCTTTGGCATTTTTGTCGTAAACGCACGATTTCAGCGTAAAATCGAGTTTTTTGTACGAAATCGAGGTCTAAACCAAAATATCATAATTTCATCACAAAATTGACCTTTGGCACCATTTAAAATGGTTGAAATTGGCCCAAATTTTGGCAAACATGTTTTTTTACCAAACGTCATCGATTGCCGCCTGGGGAGCGGAACATTTCAGACTTTCATTTTTTTTGACGCACCCTAGACCCCGTTCAAAGTAATCGCCAAATTTAACATTCAAATCATCTAATTTGCATAATATAATGTTTCAAGGACCACCAACTTTGCAACACTGATCGGTGCTTAAGGGTCGGCCCGTGGCTGCAGCGAATTAAAGTCCTGGTTGATTTAAGGCGATTGCCTTTTCAGCGCAGACCCGCCTTGTGGTCGAACCGGAGGGTGCCCAGTTTTGCCGCCAGACGAATGGGAATTGCTTGGTCATTGTTCTGCCGTGCTAAGGAAGAACGCCGTATGAACATTCGAGAGTTGCCAAATAGCCCCGGATAAAAGATGCATTATCAAAGAAAATTAAGCGTATTTTTCTTTGAAATTTTCAGACGTTTTGGAATAAACTGCGAACAAAATTGCATGAAAAAATCGGAGGAAAATATCAACGATTTTCCTAGTAAATTAGGTTTTTATTGACGGAAATATGGCAGCGTCTGAAGGCTCATACGGCGTTCTTCCTTAGCACGGCAGTGTTCTGGTCTACGCCACCCTCACGCTCACAAACAGGGTGGCAAAATTTCATGAAAAATAAATTCTTGAAATTTCACGAGAAATATTTCATGAAATTTCAGAAGTTTATGAAGTAAATTAAAAAATACCGGTTCGTTTTCATGTTTCGAATAATTTGAAAATTGGGACTTTCTTCCATTTTTGTATGTTTCAGTGCTGGTTGCATACTCTAGCCCCTGAAAAATATGAAATATTTCACAGGCTCGTGAAATTTCATGAAATATTTTACTGAAATTTCCAATCTTTCATTTTTTTCTTACGTTTCATGCCACCCTGCTCACAAACACGAGTTCCTCGCAGTGGCGTGGCGTGCTTTGCGATACACCGATTGATATGCCATTTAAACCTATGGAAAAGGATCGATAAACAGGGTGTTCTCAGCGAACACCTTGATAATCGATTCTTCACCATAGGTTTAAAAGGCAGAACAATCGATAGATCGCAATTCCCGCCACGCCACTGCTCACGCTCACAAACACAAGTTCCTCGCAGTGGCGTGGCGTGCTTTGCGATAAATCGATTGTTATGCCATTTAAACCTATGGAAAAGGATCGATAAACAGGGTGTTCGCAGCGAACACCTTAATAATCGATTCTTTACCATAGGTTTAAAAGGCAGAACAATCGATAGATCGCAATTCCCGCCACGCCACTGCTCACGCTCACAAACACAAGTTCCTCGCAGTGGCGTGGCGTGCTTTGCGATAAATTGATTGTTATGCCATTTAAACCTATGGAAAAGGATCGATAAACAGGGTGTTCTCAGCGAACACCTTGATAATCGATTCTTCACCATAGGTTTAAAAGGCAGAACAATCGATACATCGCAATTCACGCCACGCCACTGGTTCCTCGATAAGTATAGATTCATCTTTATTGGGAACATAAACTGAACGCATTTACGCGAGGGAAGTTTATATTTTAGCTGAGCTCCATAAAAATCACGCTCCATGTTTTTCGTATACCTCTCCTAGTGACTCTCCTAAATTTCCCCTTGCTTCGATTCATTGAATTGTGGATTCTTTCGTATCTCTCGGATTCTGCATGGGGTGGGTTTGAATTGTATCGAAGGAAGCTTTTATTTGGACCTACGCTGTTCCCTGACCTTGTCACAAAACCACGGCGTGAGGCAGTGGCGTGGCGTGCTTTGCGACCTAACGATATTTCCCCATTTGAGGCTGTGGTGAATAATCGATTATTAAGCTGTTTGCTGCAAACACCCTGTTTATCGATACTTTTTCATAGTTTTAAATGACCGATTAATCGATGTATCGCAAAGCATGCCACCCCACCGGCGCCGTGAGGGTATTTACGTGGAACGTATTCTTCACTCATTAACTATTGGGATGAGAAGGGAGGAGAGAGACACCCCCCCCTCCGACAGTCTGGATGAGGAGGATGAGAGCATGTCCTAACTTTGATGAGATCTGACTATTATACGAATCGAAGTCATTAGCAAATTGAGCGTTAAAAAGGGTGCATCTTAATTTTGTTTTCTTCCTGCTCATAAAATCCAAAATATTTGTAACATTTTAAAATAGGTAAATGCGAATCACGTACATGCATCGTTGGTATTTGTAATGCTTCTGGAATATAGTCTATACTAGTTCCATACCTTGAATTCATCACTTAGTGTAGGCGTCTCCCCCTCAAAACATCGTTCATTCTCTGTCATCAAATATGGTGTATCGATTTCAACTTGGTGCTTCACAAAGTCTCAAGTACTTGTTCTTTGGCACCCAAAAGGTTTCTCTTAAACTATCTTCTTCACCCGCTGCGCAGTTTTAGGTGTTTCCTGAACAATTTTTTTTTCCCTGAGTTGGTGTGTTTTCGA